AGAATAAATGTATTTTGTAATACATATTTTTTTTTACAAATCAATAAATGGAGCAATATCGCTTTCCGGGCAAGAAAGACGCCCGCCATGTCCAGTGTCTGCAGCTGGGGTTATGACTGGACTTACTCATTGCTTTTTCGTAATCTAAATTATATCTAGATATCTCTGTCTTATCAGAAATTATCCCGAAATACACCCAGCTTCGACTGCCATTATCAACGCTTCGTATATTTATGAAATTATGTTCAAACTGTATGACATAACATGTAGAATAGATATCTTTGCATATATAATTGCTCATATGTGCATGTTTACACAACACACAATGAGACATGATCGTGGCCAAAAAGTTAATCATATTTTTTAATGGTTCCTATCATCCTTATCTCGTATATATTATCGAACGAATGCCAGCTTGCTGATGTCTTATCAGTATCGCTGTGGGAGTCGTAGCCGTCTCAAGTGCTGGCAAGTGAGAAGGAGAGAATTTGCTCGAAAGGACCTTTCTTCGAAGTCTTAGGGCAGAGGAGCCGCGGCGAGGGGCTCGCTTCCGCCGACAGGGAAGCGCTGTGAGCGGGGAGGGACGGAAGGAGCGACAGGTGCCCCGCGCCCTTTCTCCAGGGAGGACGAAACCTCGAGGGCACTCGACTCAGGACCCAACGCGGTCGAGTGTCGAGCTCTGACGGAGGCAAACAACCCCGACAGGAAAGGGGCGGCTGAAGGGACGAGTCGAGTCGGAGCGCCGTTGTAACGTAACGAATAAATTTCCCGCGACTGCACACTGCCAGTGTTAAGAAATCGCAAGGTTTCCATTTTGCCCCTTATTGCAACCACTGAGAGCCGCCATGGTGTCTACCAAAGAACGCTGCGCTGTTTTCGGTCTTTTCAAGTCGAGTATCACCGCCTTCCTAGTCATTTATGCCTTTCTTCCCGTCGCCGCTTCGCAAGGTCAGTTGAGGATTCGTAGGATGTGTCAGTCTTTCAGATAAATGTATAACCTGGTATTATCAAATCCTAAATGACCCTCAGTTCTTATCTGGGTCAGGCACTTTAAACATGTTATGAATCATGCGATCACAACTGACGACTGATTCGTGTAAAGCAGGGTATTTGGAAAATACATCTGTGACAAGAACTGAGCAACAATGCTTTCTTTACGCATTCAATTAGGTCGTTTTCATCCTAGCTCTGTGTACATAATTTTTGTAGGTTTCCTTTGTTCCACTCACTGATTAATCAATATTTATTGTGATGAACCTCTTTACTCAATGTTCCACGTGCTTAATCTAATCAAAAACGATAGTTTAAGAAAAACAAACAAAACAAAAAAGAACAGGAAAGCCAATATTCAGCACGGACCGGTCTCACATCTCCCCCAGACTGCTACACGCACTTCCAAGTCGACGGCAATCCCTCGGTTGGCGTCGGCAAGAATGTCTACGTGACGAAATCCGACATCTCCGAGACCCTGCCTACGGGGGACCTGCTGTACACGCTCACTTGGGACAACGGCGGCTCCCCGGGCACGCCCAGCAATTCGCAGTTCACGGAGTATTTCGAATTCGACGCCAGTGAGCCGAATTCGTGGAAAGTGAAGGTGAAGAAGTCGCTGGAAGGACTACCAGACTTCCCCGACAGCACGGTGAGTCGAATGAGGGAAACCAAAGCATGATTTGTTGCTGAATTGCTGTGCTAGCATTATTCTGATTATCATGAATGTCCTCTTTTTGTTACTTTTATTAATGAAAATGTTAATATTAGTAATAAAATAATAATAATATGATAATAACAATAGTAAAAATAAATAAAATAATGATGTTATGATTATGATAAATGATGATACTACTAATAATTATACCAATAATAATGATGATAGTTATAACAACATAAATGATGATACTACTACTAATAATACCATTAACAATGATGATAGTTATAACAACATAAATGATATCAATAACGACAGTGATAATATACTATAAATAGCGTGTGATCAGGATAATCATAAAACTATAATGATAATAACAATAATGATAATACTGATAGAAATTAAAGTTATATAAAGAAATTAATTAATCATTATGATGATTATACTAATAATAGTAATGATGATGATATAGATAATAATGATAATAATAATAATAATAATGATAATAATAATAATAATAATAATAATAATGATAATAATAATAATAATAATAATAATGATAATAATAATAATAATAATAATAATAATAATAATAATAATAATGATAATAATAATAATAATAATAATAATAATAATAATAATAATAATAATGATAATAATAATGATAATAATAATAATAATATTAATAATAACAACAATAATGATGACAATAAAAATGATAGTAATAGTAATGATAATAATAATAACAATAATAATAATAGTAATGATAATGATAATAATAACACTAATGGTAATAATAACAATAATAATAATAACAATAAAAACAATAAAAAATGATAAGAAGAAAAAGAA